TTTTTAAAAAAAAGGAGCAGCAAATATGCCTGCTGTATCCAAACACAACCGGAGCAGAGCGGTCAGAAACTTGCAGGATGAGTTTCATTCTGTGGTTTCTGCATGACAACTAGATTATGTAGTTTACTAAAGTATTTTTGTGATACTGGTGAAAATATAGATAATGAGTGGTTTTGTCCTGAATTAAGCCTAAGTTTTTCTGCATTCTGTACTTACATACTGTACATGTACTGCGAAAGCCAAAGCAACTTCTTCATATAGGCTTAGAACACTGGAAGTCTTTTATGCATCTCAGGCTAATCATTACCTTGCCCAGCATAATTTCAGCTGGTGTTTCTTCAGGAGAAGGTTCCACCAAGTTCTTTGCGTCATCTGCTTCTAGATCCAATTCGGAGTTTAACACATCTTGACTCAGCTCTTCTGGAGAAGAAAGGGAAAAGAAGAAACAAAAACAAAAAAAGCAGAACGTATGCTTCTGTACAATAACAAAAATATCAAAACCAGCACAAATGCCACAAGTCTAATCATGTATCCCAGTGTAGGGGAAAAGGTCTACAAAGAAACTCCTTGTTGTACATACAAATTTGCTCCTGTCCAGAAGTCTTTGAGTCCTCTGACTCTTTTATTATTATTATTCACCTCACCTGCAGAACTGCTCCTCAGGCTTGTTTCTATCTTCTGCTGTTCCATTTGAGTTACACAATTAGCCATTTCCTCATGATGGTCAGGACAAGTTTCATCCTTTTTCTTAAGCAGAGATTTCATAGGACTAATATTGACTTCCTCTTCAGGGACAGATTCACTGAATTGTTGACTAGTCTATTACAGAATATGTTTCATGTTATAAATGGAGATATGCGTTGTACTTGTCAAGCAGAACACACTCTTCTAGAGAGCTTTATCAATGACACAATGAAATTTTTGCCGCTTACTCCAAACAGGCAACCAATATATGAGGAACAATAGATTATGGTTCCAGTATTTTACATTTATATTACAATTAACAGAGCAGTTTTTCCGTAGAAAAATATAATTGGGGGTTTAAAGGATTGTGTCACAATCTCTGCTTTTGACTATTTTTTTTTCCTGCCTCATAGCTTTAGGTGTTGACAAAATGTATCTTAGCACAGCCTGAATTGTTTCAAGAACTCCAATTCTTGAGGTTTTCTTCAGAGCCGTTTTATTTACCTTGTGATATTGGCGGTCTAATGCATTATTTGTGCTTGGGTTGGCAATATTGCATATAAAAACGATATGTTTTTACAAAGCAGAACATCTTGATCAATTTAGAGAAATGCTTTATAAACCTACCATTCTTCCACAAGACTTTGCTATTGCTCTGCTTATGCTACTGTCACCTGATGACACCTGAACTTTGAATCGTGTTCCCAAAGCTCCACGGTTTGTCAGGGTGATCATCCGTGAAATTCTCTCCCCCACAACTTGAGTGCCAAAGTCAATGAGTTCTTTATCTAGCGCCAACTGTAAGAAGAAAAAACATAATTATTACTGTCCAAGGTAGTCAGTGATGCCAATTAAATGGGTATCAACCAGTTAAAGAATAAGGCTTTAAAATTCTTATTACCATTTCAGAGACAATATCAAACAATAACATAAATTACAGGTACTCTGCCTTTCTGGAAAAGCAGACTAATTTGAACAAAATCTTCTTAAACCAAGCCACTTTTATGTCAATTCACTGTTTGACTGTGGGAACACGTCAAATAGTGATCGCGGTAGCAGCACTGTGTAAACCCAAGTAAGTTCAAGTGGTTACTCTGGATTTAGACAGCATTTACACATCAGTTCAACACTGGTGTTCTCGTGTTAGAACAAGATAGTCTTATAAGCAGCAGGATGATAAACAAACAAGCACCACACATCAGTTTAAAACGCATCCTGTTCTGCTCTTTGAGGCACCATAGTTTTAAAGGCAGAATAAAATACGAATGCTACTTCATATGGAAGTTTCACCTTTGCAGCTAGGTTTAAGATAATGAAAGGCTTGCAATTCACATTCGAGCATCAAGAACACAAAGACAATTTGGCTGCTAGCTACCTGCTTTTAGAGCAGGTATGAATGAATCATTTTATGGAAAGAGACTCTGCAGTTACAAAGAAACATTTAGTTCTTGCTAAATATTTTCAGTGGTGTTTGTTATTTCAATTTTTTTTGGTATTATATTGACTCTGATTAAAATATTTAAACAAAGTCACTTACAATGCATTTCTTGATTGTACACTTCAATGGAACAGAAAAAGAACCTGTTTGTGCCATAAATGTGATTTCTCCTTCAAGAGTTTCATTTATCTAAAATAAATAAATACAAACAAGAAAAAAAAAGTTACCAACTAATTTGTGAAGATTTAGCCTGTTCATTTAGCTTGCTGAAAGTTATATCTTCCTCATTCTTTGAGTTACATAACTTTCTAGATTCTGTATTTCCATTTAAGGCATTTTTGATACTTGCCTGATTAACTTTAGCTAGGCAATAACACAAGCCTTCTGGTTCAGAGTCATTCAGTGCACTTACCATTGGCTTAAATGTTACCCCTACTTCACAGGACATTCCAGCAGACATTTGGCCAGGTGGGTCAAAACTATGGGGATAATTAACATAGAACTTAAAATTAAAGCTATGTACGAAGTATCTGACTCTCATTCTACCAATGCTGGCAGAACAGATTACATATTTATTATCCTGGATTAATTTATTAAGAAATAAGTCAGTCAGCCAGAAGAGCTGAAAACTTAACTTTATGTAATTTTACTTACTGAATACTGATGAAGTCCTTGAGCCATTCGCTGATTCCTGCTAGTCTGCAGAAGTTAACACTGTAAGATGCATTTGTCAAAACTATCTTCTTTTTGTAGATTTTACCAACATCAAAATCCTTGGAATACCAAACACATCAAGTGGTCTGAATTACATAGATAGCATTTACACATGCAATTACAAGAGCAACTAATTTACTTCAGTTTCCTGGAATCTGGGCTAATATAGTTGTCAACAATTTATACTGCAGGTGGCAAAGACAATACACAGATTTTGAACGCAGAGCTGGGTGCCAGTTCCTTCCAGTGAAGTTCTGTGTTTTCTGCCTGAGGCATTGACTTCCAGCTACTAAGTTGTCACAATTCATCAATTTTCTTTTTTTCTTCCTTTCAGAAAGTATTAAGTGATGTCTAAGGTACTTGCTAAGGAAGAAAGCACAGCAAGACTGAGCTTTTGGTCTTTTTGACAGCATAACTAGAGATTCAGAGAGAATTGTTGTATGTTGCTGGAAACTTAACATCAGTTTGATAACGACTTCATTTTTTCTAGTTTGCAGACCGTGTTCCTCATTCATGCGGTTACTTGGAGAGATGGTGGTGTTCACCATGGCAAAGCGCTTGGAAATTTCAGAAGTGTGCTGCCTGCAAGCTCATTTTCCAAGGTATGTAAAAGGGAGGTAAAATCTTTAAAGTACAAAGTACAAAGTATGGAACACAATCTAACAAGATGTTTAAGCATGTGCTCATCCCTTTGACAGTTTAAATTCCCATATTTTATATTTACAACTGGGTTTGGGCTGACTATATAACTTCTCTGAGAGATTGCTGGAGAAAAAGGAGAGTACTTTTCCAGGTTTGACTCACAACACATTAAAATCAACCATTCCTGCACTGTGTCCTGGTGATTTATCAATTCATTTGTACACAGATACAGCAACTACATACACCTTTTTAAAAGGCCTTTTGCAGAATGGCAACTCACCTTGAAATGAATGAGATTTGGTTTACTATAAAAAGGACACCTCTCATGTTCACGAGCAGCACCTGTTTCCTTATGAACAATTCCAGTTTGTAGTTTCCCCGTTGTTTTTTCGAAAATCTCACTTCTCATCATTCTTGCAGCCAACAGCTTTGGTTCAGTTTCTTCTTCGGGTACCTAAAAAAACATAAATACCAACCACTCCCCCCCAAAAAAGTCACCATAACGTGTAACTAATCAACAAATCTATTATCTACATGGAAGACCCTGTGAATGATCTGGCTGGCCTCTAGCCCGTTTCTACACTAGATCAAACTCAGACTTCCAGCTTTTGTGGGAAGAAATTAATTTGTTCTGACCTGTCTGCTCTGTACCTTGTAATGCCCGGCTGAACACGTGACAGAGTTAGTATGGCCATTAAAAGCAGTAAGTTGTAATTTCCTTGTTTTCTGAATAACTAATCATAAAAATCCACAACAAAACAACAAACACAGAGCTAACCATTTTTATTAATCAATTCAGTTACGGTCCAGTGTTGCTTTCATGTGAGTCTATGGAGATAGACTGATAATGCTCCTTATTGATAGATTCTAGAGCATGTTCTCAAAGATCTTTTGTCCCAAGAAAGCAGTATATGGAAGGTATGCCTCAGAAACAAACAACAAGGTATGCCTCAGAAAACATTTAATTTCTTAAATACGTAATTTCTACTTCATAAGTGAGTGTTATTGCATTCAATACGTAATTTCTACTTCATAAGTGAGTATTATTTTATTGCATTGAGTACTGACTACAGTTACTTTGTCACAGCAGAACAGGTACCTTTTAGTGCCTGGCATGCGATTGAAAAAGTTGTTTCCACATGAAACAATTTTGTTGCTAACCCAGAGTGTCACCTTTAGTTTTCTCAGAACTCAAATAAGCAAGTGAACGTGATGTGATATATGTCGTAACATATCTGAACTCAAACTGAGATGTTATTTTCTCTTTAAGAGAACAAACTACAAAAATAGGTATAAAACAACAATTCCTTCCCACAGTGAACTTTTACATCTACATAATAATGGTAAGTCCATGTTTTAATTGTATACAAAACTTCTCTAATCCTTTAAGATGCTTTTATATATACATTTACAAAGTTGTATAATGACTTAAAGTTAACAATAAAATAAATATATAGGCATCTTATTCACATCTATTTTTTCTATTTCTAAGAAGATACCAAAACCTTTACCTTGTGCAAGCCACATTCCTGATCCCAAAGTCCTGGAAACTCTGGTTCAGCTTGAGGCTTGTCCCTGTCTGTCTCATCTTCTCTGCTTTCACGAGACACATCATGGCATACTTTTTCAGGAACTTCTTGTGCAGAAGTAGTTCTTTCATTAGCTGAGCTGTACGACAACTTTTATAAGAGAACAAAAATTGTGAAGATACAGTTAGAAATGGCTACAAGACAGTTACTTTAACAGTCACAGCTTTTTGTCAAAAAAAATTACAGCGAAAAAATCTAAAGATGGTTAATGCTTAGACATTTGTTTACCTGTGGTAGTGCTGCAGCTGAATGTTTGCATGTCTTCTCAATATATTGCCATGTTTTCATTCTCCAAAGCACAGAATCCTCAAGTTTATCATCCCTTTTAACTGCCTTTATACTTATTTGACTATTTTTCTGCTTGTGAAAGTAAAGATCTTCTTGCAAAATTCGAGCTACAATCTCAATTCTTCTAGATTTTTGCTGTTCTGCAAAAGCTCTGTAATACAAAAGTGTTAGAATATTAAAGAAATTATGGGTATCTACTAATAAAATTATCAGATTCCAGTCCCTTCTGAGCCTTTAAGCTACACAGTAAGCAGACACATATTCCTGGCAATTTTGCTACAAAGCAGAATAGTAACTTTGGTCAAAAAAGTACATAAAAGACCTTCTGCCTCTTATTACAGGGTGGTCTTTGAGACGTTCTGTAAAAGCCCTAAGAAAGCAATTTAAAATCAAAAGTGCTCAGGAAACATAACTGGGGTTACTTCAGGCATCCGGTTTTGGTTCACTGAACTACCTGGAGTAGTTTAGTTTCTCTGCACTGGCCACAAGAGAACATGGGCCCCTAACTTTGGTTCTCTGCATCATATCTGAGCTAGAAGTTCAAGTCTTAAAGCAGATTGTACAAATATCAAACATAAAGATTATAAGAATGAATTCATTCCACTAAGATCGCATCACAGATGTTGAGTTTTCACAATCTGAGTAAGAGATCAAATATATTCCTGTGTGAGCGTCACTAAGCAGCTAAGAGTTCCATATAGAAACGAATACTTACTGTTTCTCTTTTTCATATTCCAGCAGTCGTTTATGGAGGACGACTTCCTTGGTAACATTGCCTCCTTCTGCTAGGATAGCTTCCCTCATTTTCATCTCTTGCTTTTTTGCTTCAAAGGCCCTTGCTTTTTTCCCTATCTGGAGGGTTCGGAGGTTTTCCTATGAAGCGAACAAACCAGTTACATTTGATTCACTTGCAGAATATACAACAGAAAATCTGGACTGGTCCCCTTATCTACATACAAATCTGTGATAGATTACTCTGAAGAGGAACTTGATTGCTGTACATTTTGAAAACAGTTAAGTAAGGTATTAGTAGACTGTGCACTGGAGGTGCAGAATATTTTTAAGGGAAGATTTTAGCATTTCTAACATGGTTATTCCTGTATTTAAATTCTCCACATTTCCGATGGGGATTTGGCCAGTGTCACACAACAATTCTGCAGTGAAAACTGAAGTCACTTTCACTAAAGCTTATTAGTCTATAGAGGCAACTGCTTCACTCGTGGTGTAAGCTGCAGCAGCAGTACCCTGTTGGAAGTTATGCTGTTTTTCAGGGAAAGCACAGCTTGTATCCTCCTTTCCATATGCTCCTTAGACTTCAGTTCTTCTTCTGCATTTTTCTCATGAATTCTGCAAGTAGAATAAAATCCTTCAGACTTATATCTTATACATTAGAATGTTTAACCTGGCAAATAGTAATTGTCACTGTCACCCGGTATTCTTGTTGTAAGTCTTTTTACTATGATATGGGGTCTGGGTAAGGTGAAACAGTTGGAGAAGTCTTCTATATACAGCACCCCTCAAGAACATTAAACCTGCACAGTCTCAGAAAAGCAGATGCCAGTTACTGAATTAGTCATACTGCTCTGCAAACCAGTGGATTTTCTTGCAGGTCTTTTCTCAAGTCCTTTTTCAGTAGGTAACATTTCAACACTTCACAGTGCTGGCAGCATGGCTGAAGATTTCCAAGTGTTAGAGAGGAGGAATCCAGCAGAAAAACCAATTACTCCTAGAAAACTAAAGGATACTGTATCATATGCCATAGAATGTATGATGACAGAAGAAAATGAATTTATTATAACCTTGTCATTGTTTTTCTCAGGAAGTGGACTGCCTTTTCATGGTTCCTTTGAATATCTTCAAGCATTTCTTTACATTTTTCTTCATATTCTTTCTGGGCTTCCTCATCTTTTCTACAAAACATAGGCAAACAAAGAGCCATAGCAATGAAACCTGGATTCCAACACTGTTCTGTTTGCTGTAATCCATTATCTGAGGCACACCAGGGATGGGGCTGAATGTACAGGGACGTTAGTCTGTTCTCTCTCTTCTGAACACTTTCATTTTCACAAAATCTATTAAAAAAATCAGAAAAAGGAATCCTCTTGCCCTACAACAAATTTGGATGAACTTTATAGGTTTAGAGGTTTCTGAGGCCAACGATAACACAGACATATGCAGTGCATCTGATCCAGCAGAAAGCATACACACAGTCTTTGCCTTTAGCGAGCCTGTTTTTATAGGTCAGAAGACTTACCTGAAGGGCTACAGGCAATTCTTATTTTTATACCATTTCCTCATAAAAATATTCCTGAGTGAACTACTACCTCAAAAACACAAAGCCATAGCATCCTTTGAATTAGCTAAGCTTCTCAACAACCGGAATAACGAGTTAGATGAAAATAATGCGGGCAAAGAAAGGACAGTGAACAGTCTCTTACTTTTCTCTAGCTTTTTGGTTTTGCTCTGCACGCAGAGCTGCTATTTTTTCCCTCCGAATCCGCAATTCTGCTTGTTTTTGGTACTGCATCTCCAGCTCCTCTTTATCTTTTTCAGATTGCTCATTGAAGCTTTCAGATTTTCCCTGCTCATCTTCTGTTTGCCACATCTCATACCTTTAAAAGAGAATATGAGCTGTTTTCACTAAAAGTCTGCCATTCTTTCATTTACTTCATTTACTATGAGAAATGATATTTTCCTGCATATCTAGGCATCATATTGTGACCTGTCATAAGTATAAAAACTTTCACAGCACTTTCGTCTTTAATCTTTATTAAGATTGTCTCTGAGTTCCTAAAAGATTTACCACAGGTGTCCCATCAGTATTCATTATTTTTGTTTAATCATTCAATGCATTATTTTTTGTTTAATCAGCCATTCCACTTTGGCAGCTAATCTACCTTTATTAGTCTACCATTCAATGATAAACTATCTTCAAGATTAATACAAATCATAAAAGTGCAGCTGCAAAGTTTGTTCACAACACACTGGATCTTGGTACACAAGCCACCCACTTCTTTCTATTTAAACAAATGTGAGGAGCACAGTAAATTGCCTCCCACTTTACAGCAGAAATGTTTCAGGACAGCTCCTGTATGCAGAACTACCCCCGAAAAAAGGCATACATTTCTCAGCATACAAAGGGCACATATAGGTAGAATTCCTGTTCGTATCAATTATCACAGTAGCAAATCTATGACCTCACCTCTAAAATTACCATAGCATACTTCAATGTTGTTTGACCATACTGAATAAAAATGATTAAACAACTGATAAGCAGATACATAATTAATGCTAGTGGGCTAGACTGATGTAATGACCTACTGTTTCTAGATCCTTTAAAATACATGCCTGTTTCTCATCAATTCCTAAGCCTCCCTCTCTCTCTGCAATCTTATTTGCCTAGTAGAATATCACCTGTAGACCAGGAAGCACAGGCATAATGACCCCCAAGCTAATGGGCTGTTGTTCTTTATTTCCAGAGGAGGAATAATTGCTAAGTCACCTGGAAAGCAACTGCAATACTCGATATTCGAGTGCGCCAGCATGGCAGTGAATGCCGCACTGTACGTAGCAGCTGAAAGCGCCTACCCTCATGCCACAGGAGCCCTGGGGCAGTTTTCCTTTAATTCCAAGGATGGCAGTGGCTTTCATCACTGACCCATTAACATTTTGAATATGTGGGCTGTTTAATATCTATCAGCTGTGTTCAGGAACACAAAGGGGTGAAAACAGATTAACATTTTGAATATGTGGGCTGTTTGTTTAATATCTGTCAGCTGTGTTCAGGAACACAAAGAGGTGAAAACAACAAAGTCTATCTCATTAACTTCACATGGATAACCACAGAGGGTACCAGGGTTTACAAATTCTAGTTTTCCTGAACAACAGTATAAAACTTTAAAGGGAATATTCTAACAGCTGATGAAACAGTTTTGAAGCAAGTTAGTCTCTCTTGTCATTCTAGACTATTTAAAAACACAGAGAGAATAAGTCTGTTTTTTAAAATCAGCTTGGTGTATTTTGAGTTTCTCTGTTGATAACAGAGACAGTGTCAGCATTCACGGGCAGCAGTCGTATGTGCCATGCAGCTTCCCACATAGATACATGAATAAACTTTGCTTTGTTTTTCAATTGTTCCTTGTCTCCCTCCCAGGTAAATCCAGGGCAGAGATAAGCAGTTTTGTCAAAGTAGGCAGAACCATGCTTTGATCTTTCTGAAGGCAGCAGCAACCATTTAAAACACTCAACCCACCAAACTCCTCCTCCTGTGCCAGGTAACATGTATTTCTGCAGGAATAGCGCTGCTGTACCACCTACACATAAAAATAAATAGTACTGGACCATCATTACAGTGGTTCTGTGCTAACTGGTCTTACATGACAGTATTAAATTCTGTTTATTCAAAAATCCGACACTGATACTCCTTAACAGACCAACTTATTTTACAGTAACTTCTCATACAGAGTTGCTGTCCTACAAGTAGAGTGGGATATGCATACGACAGACACAAGCTGAATTAACCAAATCTTCTCTTGAAAACAACAATTAACAGTATCAAGGAAATTACCATTAGAATTGATAACAAATTAAGTTATTTACGTGCTAGAATCAGACTCATCTTCAACTCCTTCAGAAAGGTTGTTTCCCATCTTGCCACCAACACCTGACTTTTCAAGTCTGTGTTCTAACAGAAAGTAAAGCAAAACAATACCTCAATAAAGACAGTTTGGGCAAGAAAATGCAAAGCTCTTGTATACTTGCTGTCAAGTCAGAACATGAGAATAAAAGATGACATTTTAAAAGCCTTACAGAAGCAGAAACTATAGGATTCACTATTACAGAAGTAATGGATTGGGTTTGGATGAGTTACACCTGTGGCAGAGTAACATTACTCAAAACAATGGACTTACTTGGAGTATCATTGAAGCTTAAAACTGTACCACTCCCATCTACTAGATTAGTAGAGCTATTTAATGAATACAGCTTTCTGCAAGTTATCAAAACCTTCATAATCTTCACCTTCATGATGGTCTTTTACATTAGAATGCTGACCCGCTTTGTCTTCTTTTTCTTCCGTTTCCAAAAACTGTAAAAGAGTTTTCTGCCCTTCTTCATTGCTGTTGGTGAATTCAGCATCCTCCATAATGATGGAACTTCTAAAACAATCAAGGTGCCAAAGAAAAGACCACATGTTTTCCACAGAGCAAAAGTGCCAACCATAGCTGGATTGCACGTGATATAACTGGATACAAGTGCATGCCTTGGTATGAGTGAGACGGCAGAGTATCAGTTTTAATTCATCTCTGATGCAAAAGAAAAAAACATTCCCAAATGATTTGTTAAAATAATCAACTCTGTAATAAAATACATTTTCAAAATGAATCTTATCTACTTGGGCAACCACTTTACTCCATATAAAGGAATGAGTCAACAGACATATTGACACTTGCTTCTTATACAGTTCTGCCTGTTAAATTCTTTAAAAATTTTGATGCAATTTACCAGAATTCAGTAAATGTTGTGTGTCATCAAAAATGACTTATTACCACATGGTTGATCATTTCATCAAGATCTTACTCATGTAGAGACTTGTACCTGTGATTAATTTTACAGTCAAAGCAAGGCCACTGACTTGTGTATTATGTAAATCCTTTTGCAGAACTCAGATAGACATTAACCAGAAGAGAGTATCTATTTTTCTGAGTTAAGGAACAGAAAGGGTTTGCTATAGCATTTCAAACATGGGATAGACTTGAATAGAAGTGATAAAAACCACTTTTAGCCAAAACCAAATTCCTACACAGGGTTATAGTTGATTTAAAAATACTCTGTTACTTAACAGTACAAAGTTAGGACAGACAACATGCCATGGAACGAGTTGGAGCTAAGTAGGGCAGGAAGGAAAGAACAACTCCTTCAGCTGCTGTTCCAAGTGAATGGGATTCACACACGCACACCCCACAGCCAAGGTTTGGGTGTTCGATACACAAGCAGCTAGGCAGGAACACACCTTTGGGAAAGAACTTGGGAAAGAAGCTTGGAAACAGTATCTACACAGTTTTATTTTACATCCAAACATAAGAGGTAATCTTTGAATTGTGTAAGAACCGTAATGAAACTTTCATTACTAATATACTCGTACCCAAGACAAATCTGTTGCAAAAAAGCACTTTTTCAGCTTTTAATAGCGCATTAACTTTTTCTCCCAAGGGGCTGAAGTCACCTAATCTTGACCACCAGATAAAGACTGAGTCAACTGGTAGCAAATCCAGCAAAACATTTAAACTCTGGCATAAAAATGACACAAAAGTACATCAGTGTAGTGATAATAGCTGCAGTACCTTCTGGTAAACCACTGTCTGGCCAGGAGAAAGAACACAACTTAAAATGCAATAGACCTTTGGTTAAATTAGGCAAAATCTACCACATAGTTTTAAGTAACCTGTAAAGCAAACCCCAAAACAAAACACAAATACAAGCCGGGCAGCAAAGGGGTCCCGGGACCAGCCCACCCCACCGAACTGCTGCCCTCCAGCGCGCAAGGAAGGCAGGGGGGCGCTTTGAATTGAATTATATTGGATGGGATTGGTTTGGTTTGGATTGGTCCGGTCCGGTCCGGTCCGGTCCGGTCCGGTCCGGTCCAACCACCGCCTACCTCCCAAGCGGCCC